CTTGAGCAGGTGTTTGTCTCATCCAGGTGATCTTGTGTCTGTCTTGTCCAGTTCTCCCTGCAGGTTCTTCCTGTGTGTCTGTTTGTAGATGAAGGGGCTGAGGATCAAGTGGGTCCTCTACACAGCTTCCCCAGCCACAAACATGCCACCAGCGGGGAGAGGCGTAGACTCCTAGCCCCCTCCATCTCGGTGTCTGTGCCTAATGATGACCCTTCCAATTCCGATGAGGAGTACTATGAGCATCCTTTGTTCCGCTCACAATGGCCTACCTCTAGTTTGCTCCCCAGTGTCCCAGTGCAGAGTGCAGAGGCCCACTTAGGCCAGGAGAAAGATGAACCAAGCATGGTCCCCTTTTGCTCCTCCCCCCAGCCTGCAGCTTTGACCACATGCATCATTCTAAGTGTACCTTCAGCTGTGGGGTGGGAGGGAAAGGAGCCTGTTTTTTCCATATGAAAGTGAAGTCCCTATGTAGTTTATATGTCTAGCCAACTACCTTGTCCACAAGAAGCCTTATTTCGGGCATAGGAGTATTTTCTTTTTCTGTATCATTGCTTCTGAAAAGAAAGCCAAAAAAGGGGTGGGAGTGGGGGGAGGGAGCAAAAAAGTTCAGTTAAAGTACGACTCCTTTCTGCTCCCTGTAAATAAATCAGAGGGGGAAGAATACATCCTCTACTCAAACTGAATAAGAGGACCCTGTATATAATTTTTTTTCCTCCTTGGATATAGACTATTACTAGGACCAGACTTAAATAGAATTAGCCTTCTTTTTAGTGCCATGTCAATACGGTGGGCTCCTTAAAAGAGAAAGATCATGAATCTGTATAGGGCAGAACACATGTTACAGAATGAATGTATTTCTCCAAATAATTTAATCATCTACAAAAACTACAGAGGGTCCCCCCAAGTGACTAAATATTGGCTCACATGAGCAGACCTGGGCTAAAGTGAAGGAAATGATCCAAAGCCTTTGTCATTCCACCTTCATAAAGCTAGCAGACCCTAGTGTATAACTGGCCATGATGAGGGCGGTGGGCTGAAATTTGTCTCGTTCTAACTAGGTAGTTTTGTAAAGGAAAGCAAAATTAGAGCTAAAACATGTTTTGCATAGGTGAAGAACTTACTCTCAAATAGGGAAAAATGTGCATGAAGAGTTTATTTCCATACGGGACAGTATTTAATGAAAGGGCAGATAGTTCCAAGGCAATGGGGAAGAAACTCATAGTTTACCAACTACATTCATGATAATAAATTTCTTCTAGTGTCCATTGGAAAACAAAGAGCACCAATGGTTCAGACACTCTAATAGAGAAATATAACCCATATGGAGTAAAAGTAAGTTCTAAGAGTGTGAACTTACAACAGTTAAGAAAAATCTGTGAAATTTTGAGCGAGAAACAGGTATAGTGGAAATAGACCTGATTTATACAAAATGAGGAAATGGAAAGCCAAAAGGTTGCATGGATTTGGAGAACATGTTGATTAAATTGATTAGACTTTACCCAAGAAGGTGACATTAGCAAAGCAGCTATAGTAAAAGTCTCTTATCTGTAATCAAAATCTCTAATTCTGTGACGTTATAAAAATGCCTTGATAATAATTTGGAATCTGAATTTTTTAAATGTTGCTTACATAATTAAATAACAAAAATGAAAGTCCCTGAGTGCTAAATGGGAGGAAATAGATGAAGTAGTTCTCCCCTCCCCCACCCCCTGCCCAGGGGTTTTAATATTTCTCAAAAAAGAAAATTGCTTTCCTTTCCATCTGTAGTCTTTCTCACCGGGCCATTTAAACAATGTTGCCTAAGAATTTCACCCGAATCTTTCATTTGTGGAACTATAAAACAGCTTACACTTCCCCTGTAATTTCTCAAGCAATAAAATGGGACTCATTGTACTGGCATTTGAAAGTGCAAATGAGAAGCAAATGAACACAATAAATCATGGCCTTCATAGGTGTGCTTTTTTACATTTTAATTGTAAACATTTTTCCATGTGATATACATCTTTTGGGAAGATATTTTGGCAGTTTGATTGTCGTTCAGTTACCTTGGTGGTTTGGTTTTGAATTGCAGAAACAAGACTTTACAGGTAATGTGCACATTGTCTTATTCAGGATCAAGGGCAACTATACATGAACTACATTATTGGTATTACAAGGGTGTAAGCAATATGGTAACAGTTGTATCCCCAAGGTGGACTTTTCTAAATGCTAAGATTCCATTTTACCTGGGCCTTGCTTTTCAAAATAGTTTGCTTACTCCTTGAAATTTTTTACATTCTCCCATATCATATAATGCAAGGAAGGTAAAATAAATTGAGTTAGGAAGTCTTTTGCCTTAAAAATATTGCATAAATTGTATTAAAATGTAATTTAATACTTTAAATACTTGAGACTTTGGCCTTTACATACTAAATAAGATAGTGTTGATGGATTCCGTGATAAAGCTGTTAGGGGAGTTGATGGTTATTATGTTGAGGCCGGGTGTTTTTTATTCCCCAAGATTCTTTACTGAAGTTTGCATGTTTTTAATAAAGTAATCAGAAATTCGTATGTAGGGGCTTACTGCATTGGAGAAAGCAGCCCCTGTCTAGCAAACGTAAAGATTTTTTTAGTCCATCAATGCATCTGTCTTTTCATAACCATCTGTTATCCAAAAGCACCATCTCTTCTTTCCAGCAAGCTCCCTACATGTGTGCAACTTACTGCCATTTCCACTAAGGGGAATAGAGCAATAAGACCCTTTCAGCTCTCAAGTTTTCAAATAAATAGCCTTTTAACGAGACTTTAAAAGGCATCATTATTAGCAGATTATATATATATAGTCATTGCCCAAGCAATATATAATGCACGTTGCATTCGAATATTAATCTGCTCATCCAAATGGTAAAATAAGGTTCTGGCGAGGTTGATGTAATGGAGCTGAAAGTGTTCCATGAGTAATATTTCTGCCATTGTGTGTATTCTGTGGTCATGATGTCAACATCTTTTTCATCCCTAAGAAGAAGAAACGCTAGAGGGAACAGTGGCTGAGGAAGAGACACCTGCCACTCTTCCTGGGAAAGAGTGCAGGGCTGCCAAGGCCTCAGACCAACCCCAGGGCCTCAGTGAGGGCCACACGGAGTCTAGTGCGGAGGCCCACATAGCTCCTGAAGAGAGTGCCCCAGCAGGGGCCCTGCAGGAGAAAAGTGTAAAAGAGGTCACCGAGGTGTCTCCAGAAGTAACAGTCCCTTCCTCTGCCAGGGAAGGTGTGTCTTTCCTAGGATTTGCATGTGTTTTGTTGCAAATGATCTCTCCAGCAGCTTACGGACCTGATGCCTTTCCAATGCTATTCCATGGCTTGGTCTTCTCATGATCCCGAGACTGATGTTGTAGGTTTAATGAGCAGAGTGTGGCTTGCACAGTTGCTGTGTGGCAGCTAGGTTTTCCACTGCTGCAGCTGATTCTTGGTCTTACTTTGCCATGATACAATATGCTTTGCAGCCAGGCTGACGATGCTGTGTGAGCTTTTTGTCCGCCCGCCCCGCCCCCCATCTCCAAGTGTTTGCCAGCCACATTGCTAATACATGTATATTTTTATTTTTATTTTTGGGACGGCGATTCATATGCTTTTCTTTCAAACCGTAGAGTTGGATTTTGGCACATAGAGGCTTAAATGGTAGAATTGTTTTTGTTTGCAACTGCAGTGTGCTATATTTTTTATGCTTCGATGAATACTGGTTTGGTTTCCTTAAAAGCTCCTGCCGATGCTTCTCATACCATTTCCTCTCCATGGCAGCCAACGTCTTTGACCATCACCATATCTCTTGAGTTTTCATTCATCTAACCTCTATTAGAAGTTCATAAAGTATTTCTTTTCTATTGTTACAACAGGACACACAAGTACATAAGGTATTGATGATCCATACGCTTGCTCTTCGAGCGATGACTGAGTTTTATTATTTTTCCCCAAATCTTTTCCAGATAGTTACATTTAGCCCTAATGACCACAATGAAATACCTGTGACCTTAGAACACAAGTGAGACTCTGAAACCTTTCCGGTTGGTGAACAAACGAAAATAAAGAAAGAGCCATTTAATGTCTGTGAAGCATCTCTAAAGCCACTACTTAGTGCCTCACTGTCTGTCATATTCCAGGGAATGAGGTCATTACCAGGGAGAGAAAGATATGATAATAATTGGCTCTTTTTAAAATTTTTATTCACATGACATCCCAGTATTTTTTGTTAAGATTTTATTTATTTATTTGACATCCCAGGATTAATAATATAATTCAGATTTTCTTAACATCTGTCCTAAGGTTAACTAACGATTAGGAATTAAAAATTTTGAATTTGTGATAGAAACCACCTTGTCATATCATTTAAAGTTAATAGCAAATATTTATTTATATTCCTGAAATTTAATCTCAGAAGACGCCTTAAAAATTATGTCAGTAACTTCTTAATGTTCAAAAACTTGGTCCTGGCATTTATAAATCAATTAACTTGATTTTAACATAATACTTATTATGAATGAATTGCCCTTCCACCCATGGCCTGCCAGTTCATTTTTAAATGAGAACACAAGTGAAAAAGTTCAGTAGACATTCATCCGTTTTTCATATTTAGCCCTTAATGTATTTTTGTACCCTAATATTACTGACTTATTCAATATTCTTTAATTTATCATTTTTGTCTGCAAAAGGCACATGAAATTTTCTACTACAATACACATTACATGGTATTTAGGAGAGCCCAAACAAAGGAGAAAAGAGTATTCAAAATACACAATTCCTGTATGCATTAATTCGCAACGGGAATCCCTTTCCGCAGTAGTACAAATATATCTCAGTCCTGACATTTTCATATTGATTTTTAAATGGGTAGCATGCTTGCATGTTCCATAGTTTTGTTTTGTTTTCTTACCCTACCATTCATTTGTCATTTCAAAATATAATTTTAAGCTTACTGCCTGAAAGCACTTGCCTATTATTTGTTTAAAAATCAACCCAATTACTTCAGGTTTACTTCCAGCCTTGAAGATGGAGTTCCATGATCAACAGGACTTGACTCCCTCTCCAGCTGAGCCATTAGACAAGAAGGACAAGGAGTCAGAGAAACAAAGCAAGCCTGGTGAAGACCTTAAACATGCTGCCTTAGTTTCTCAGCCTGAGACAACTAAAATTTCCCCTGACAAAAAGGACATGCAAGGCCCAGAGGAAGAAAAAGCACCTCCCACTCTGTTTGGGCATACTCTTGGTGCCGGGCTAGAAGACACGAAACAGAAGATAGAACCAAGCCCCGTGGTGCCTGGTATTGGCCTCTCTGCAGAGCCCCCAGCTCCAAAAGAGCAAAAGGACTGGTTCATCGAAATGCCAACGGAAGCCAAAAAGGATGAGTGGGGTTTAGCTGCTCCCATCTCGCCTGGCCCTCTAACCCCCATGAAGGGAAAAGATGTCCTTGAGGATATCCCCAAATGGGAGGGGAAACAGTTTGATTCTCCCATGCCCAGTCCCTTTCAGGCTGGCAGCTTCACTCTTCCTTTAGATGTCATGAAGAATGAAATAGTTGCAGAAGCATCGCCCTTTGCCCCTGCCCTATTACAACCAGATGACAAAAAATCTCTGGAAGAAACCAGTGGCCCAGCAACTGCCAAAGATAGTTTTAAAGCTGAAGAGCCCCATGAGGATAAACCTGACAAAATGGCAGAAGCGCCAGCCCCAGAGGCATTCACCTTACCCAAAGATGCCCACATTCCGACCGTGGAAGAATGTGTCCCAGAGAAAGTTTTGGGAGAGGAGAAAGGGGCAATAAAGCAAGAGAGTGCACAGAAAAAAGAGCAGGAGGTGACACTTACTGAAAAGGAATCTCCACTAAAGCTTGAAGAAAAGACAACCATTTCTGACAAAGAAGCCGTGCCAAAAGAGAGTGAGCCCCCGAAACTGACAGATGGAGAAACAGGCATAATTCAGCCCTGCATGGAGCACACCCTCTCAAAAGAAGAGCAGAAAGTCCAAGAGCCTACCACAGAGCCATTAAAACAGGACTCATTCCCTGTCAGTGTGGAACAAGCAGTGACAGACTCAGCTGTGATCTCTAAGACACTGGGGAAAGTCATGACCGAACCAATGGCAGTAAGTGAAAAGAGTGCAGTCCAGGACCTCTTTGAAGAAAAAGTTGCAGACAAAGATATTAAGATGGAAGGGGTTGGGCCTGCAACATCAGCGGAGCTTGACATGCCGTTTTACGAAGATAAGTCAGGAATGTCCAAGTATTTTGAAACATCCGCCTTGAAAGAAGAAGTGACAAAAAGCATCCAGCCAGGCAGTGATTACTATGAACTCAGTGACACCAGAGAAAGTGTCCAAGAGTCTTTTGACACCCTATCTCCTGTGTGTAAAAATGGAGACAAGGGACTTGAGGCGGGTAAAGAACCCCAGCCCAGTGCTCCAGCACAAGAAACAGGGTACAGCACTCTTGCACAGAGTTATCCGTCTGATTTACCTGAAGAACCTAGTTCTCCTCAAGAAAGAATGTTTACTATTGACCCAAAAGTGTATGGGGAGAAGCGGGATCTCCACAGTAAGAATAAGGATGACTTGACGCTAAGCAGGAGTTTAGGACTTGGTGGGAGGTCTGCAATAGAACAGCGAAGCATGTCAATCAATTTGCCCATGTCTTGCCTGGATTCCATAGCCCTTGGATTTAACTTTGGTCGGGGACATGATCTCTCTCCTCTGGCTTCTGATATTCTAACCAACACTAGTGGAAGTATGGATGAAGGGGATGATTACCTTCCAGCCACAACACCTGCACTGGAGAAAGCCCCCTCTTTCCCAGTAGAAAGCAAAGAGGAAGACCAGACAGAGGGAGGAAAAGCTGCCGGAGAGGAAAGTACTCAAGTCGAGACCTCGTGTGAGTCACCTTTCTTAGCCAAAGATTACTACAAAAATGGTACTGTCATGGCCCCTGACCTGCCGGAAATGCTAGATCTGGCAGGCACAAGGTCAAGATTAGCTTCCGTGAGTGCAGATGCTGAGGTTGCCAGGAGGAAGTCAGTCCCATCAGAGACTGTGGTCGAGGAGAGTAGTACCGGCTTGCCCCCTGTCACCGATGAAAACCACGTCATTGTTAAAACAGACAGTCAGCTTGAGGACCTGGGTTACTGTGTGTTCAATAAATACACAGTCCCACTCCCATCACCCGTTCAAGACAGTGAGAATTTGTCAGGGGAGAGTGGTTCCTTTTATGAAGGCACAGAAGATAAAATGCGAAGAGATCTAGCCACAGACCTGTCCTTGATTGAAGTAAAATTGGCAGCTGCCGGAAGAGTCAAAGATGAGTTCGGTGCTGAGAAAGAAGTACCCCCGCATATCTCTGGTGACAAATCGGGACTGGGTAGGGAGTTTGATCAGGAGAGGAAAGCTAATGATAAGCTGGATACTGTTCTGGAAAAGAGTGAAGAACATGTTGATGCAAAAGAACACGCCAAGGCAACAGAAGAGGCCAGTGATGAAGTTGAAACATTTGGCTTAGGAGTAACCTACGAGCACATTCCCACCAAAGAACTGACCGTTTCAAAAGACACATCACCTCCCATGGCCGAGAAAGCTGAGAAAGGTCTTAGTTCAGTGCCAGAAGTAGCTGAGGTCGAACCATCCAAAAAAGCTGAACCAGAACTGGATTTTGTTGCAATGAAAGATGACCAGGGTCAGCTAGATGTGAAAATCAGTGACTTTGGACAGATGGCCGCAGGGCTGGCGGTAGACGCTGGAAAGGCAACAGAGCTTAAGCTCGAGGCTACTCAAGATCTCCCCCCCTCATCTGGAGCACCTCAGGAGGAAGACGCGTTTATGAGCGTTGAGGCTAGCCACATGAAAGAAGGCACTAAAGTCAGTGAGACGGAAATCAAGGAGAAGGTGGCCAAGCCTGACTTGGTGCACCAGGAGGCTGTAGACAAGGAAGAGTCCTACGAGTCAAGTGGTGAGCATGAGAGCCTCACCATGGAGTCCTTGAAAGCCGATGAGGGCAAGAAGGAAACATCCCCAGAATCCTCTCTAATTCAAGATGAGATTGCCATCAAATTGTCAGTGGAAATACCTTGTGCACCTGCTGTCTTGGAGGCTGATTTAGTCCCAGATGAGAGAGCTGATGTCCAGATGGAATTTATTCAGCAGCCGAAAGAAGAAAGCAAAGAAACCCCAGATATCTCTGTCACGCCCTCCGACGTCGCAGAGCCATTGCCCGAAGCCACCAGGGCTGAACCGGCAGAGGCTCAGAGTGAGGAAGAAGAGATAGAAGCCCGGGGAGAATATGATAAACTGCTCTTCCGCTCCGACACCCTTCAGATTACCGACCTGGGCGTCCCAGGTGTCAGGGAGGAATTTGTGGAGACCTGCCCTGGTGAGCACAAAGGAGTGATCGAGTCTGTTGTGACCATCGAGGATGACTTTATCACTGTGGTGCAAACCACAATGGATGAGGGGGAGTCAGGTTCCCACAGCGTGCGTTTTGCAGCCCTGGAGCAGCCTGAGGTGGAGAGGAGATCGTCCCCCCACGCTGAAGAAGAGCTCGAAGTAGAAGAGGCAGCCGAAGCCCAGGCGGAACCCAAGGATGGCTCCCCGGAGGCTCCCGCTTCCCCTGAGAGAGAAGAGGTTGCACTCTCAGAATATAAGACGGAAACCTATGACGATTACAAAGACGAGACCACCATTGATGACTCCATCATGGATGCTGACAGCCTCTGGGTGGACACTCAAGGTGTGCATTATTTTTTTTTAAATTTTCTACTTCCAAATAAAATCCAATAACCTAATGGATTTCTTTTTCGTTTTAAACTTGGTTAAATTTCCCTTTATCTCTATTTTGCATTTTGTTAAATATATGAAGGATTTTGTACATTTGTTACTAATGTTTTCATTGTTGTTGTTGTTGTCATGGTTTGCTTTGATCCGCAGATGATGATAGGAGCATCATGACAGAACAGTTAGAAACTATTCCTAAAGAGGAGAAAGCTGAAAAGGAAGCTCGGAGACCATCTCTTGAGAAACATAGAAAAGAAAAGCCTTTTAAAACCGGGAGAGGCAGAATTTCCACTCCTGAAAGAAAAATAGCTAAAAAGGAACCTAGCACAGTCTCCAGAGATGAAGTGAGAAGGAAAAAAGGTTCATTTCACAATAACTTCTTTAAAAATGTTTTTGAATTCATTATTACTCTTTCGTAGAAGAAACTTCCTAACAGTGGTAACTAATTATTTATGAAATTTCGTTCTGTTTTGCTCCAACTGTTTATTTTCTCCTGATGGTATGCTTTTTTGTGTTTTCTTTATTCGTAGCAGTTTATAAGAAGGCTGAACTTGCTAAAAAAACAGAAGTTCAGGCCCACTCTCCCTCCAGGAAATTCATTTTAAAACCTGCTATCAAATATACTAGACCAACTCATCTCTCCTGTGTTAAGCGGAAAACCACAGGTGACTCTTCAGTTCTGCAATGTGGCTGGCAAACATAGACATGTCTTTTTTTTTTTTTTTATCTCATTCCTGTAGCGGCTTCTTCATTTTGTTTTTCTTCCGAGAATCTTAGCAGTCATGAACAATTTCGCTATTAAGTGTCTTGTATCATTATTCTTTTTTTGTTTCCCCTCCCTGCAGAAGAGGTCATGACCATCTGTTTCTTTGTCATGCTCAGACTTAGCAGTGATTTTATCTTGGCATTGTGTAGTGTCACGTTCTGGGGATTCCTCTTTTCATTCTGTGTGTTTGGTTAGACAATGACGATGAATATAACCGTGGTATGCATTCTCATGATTTTGCTTATCTCTCTCATGCTTAAACCCATACTATATTTGTCCTATTTTCTACGTGGTTACTGCCACATCTGTTACTGATGTTAATGAATTTGCCAAGAATGGGTAGTGATTTCAAGATTGAAAATGAAAAGCAGATCTGGGGTAAAATTGTGATTGCAAAATTACTTTGCTTCAGATGAAAGAAAAAAAAAAGGAAAGGAAATTGCCTGTTCATCCCATCAGATTTTATTCCTCGTGTCCAAAATTAGCAAGGCTTTCAATTCACTCTACTACATCTCTTCACTGACACTTTGTCACTGGGATTTTCTTAAATGTGTTGGATTCAAACTGCTAATTTTTCTATGTAATTTAGAATTCAGAATTCCCGGATAAAACGCCTTCATTTCTTATAACTTAGGTGTATTCCTATGTTGCTACCTTCTTATTTTTCGGTCTTCTTCAAATATACTTGTTTTTAACTCCTTAAAAAAGCAGTGAAATGAAGGAGCAAAACTTATTACAAATCACAATAAAAGCTCATACAAATATCTATAATGCAAACTCTATTCATGTTAAATGTATAATTATCCTAGGATAATCTTAATTTGCAATACATTTTATTTTAGCATTTATTAGTTAGCACACTTGTAGGCTACAAAATTAGGTATCAGATTGCTAAGTCAGAAAGGAATATTTACCTTTACATTGTATACTAGAAGTGCCTTTAGATAGGGGTAAAAAAAAAAGGTGCCTTTATATAAACCTTCTGATGGCTTTAATGATTAAGAGCAGCATTAACCTTTGTAAGAAAAAGAAAATCAAGGTTATTGATGGTTTTATGATAGTCAATAAAATTCTAAGTATTTTGTATCTGTGTTCTTCATATGGGAATCATCTCATGAGCTTTCTTCCAAGAACTAATCTTTAAGGCAGTATTTGAAACTGGAAGGCTCATAAATTATATAGAAACCTTGATGATAAAAGTTCAGGCTGAAGAATGTTTCTCAGTTAGAAATTAATATGACATCTCCAACTCTTATATCACATCTTAATTCATTTGCATTTAACTCGGAATTTTACTTCTAGTTAGAAAAATGTGTGGACAGGCAGACTCTCTTGGTTTGGGCATAAAAATCCTATATCATGTATAAGAGGATGAAAAATATATCAGGATTATGGAATTTTGGAGGAAACATCAAATGGTTTGGTGAAGTGCCTGACATGTCATTGGTATTCAATTTGCCACACTGATAATGAATTGCCTTTTCAACTCATTCATTAAAGAAAATTTAAGATCTTTGGACTAATTAAGATCTTCCCTTAATCTGTTCAAATATTAAGATACTCAAGCAGAAAGCATATATCAAACATGGATGTCATTGGCTTGAAGCAAACTCTATGTCACAGAAATTTAAGAAATATTACAGAAATATTAGGAAAGCATCATTTGCACTGCTGCTTTTTAAAAAAATCATTCCAGAATCTGTGAATAATCTTACTAGCCAGTCCTAAGTAGCATATAGCATTCTGTAGACAGTTATACTTGTGTTAGAGCTGCATGCGACATAAGAAACCTTTTTGAAACTGATTCAGAGTGCCTATAAGCAGAAGCTTTCTCCCCCCGCCCCTGGCGTTTTCTCTCTTCTGAAAGAAAATTAAGAAGGAGGTAACTCCGCAAGCTTGTGCCTTTCATTTTCTAAGCACAATTTTTAAATAGGGATGGTTTTCCCAAAACACAAAGGATTGTTTTCAATCATAAGAGATATTCAAGTCAAGTCAGGTAAGTCATCAACAGAAAATGTGCTGGAGATAGTGGAGTTGAAAACTGAAGCCAGAGGTACAAAACAGCAACAAGAAAAACAACAGTAACAGATGCGGTAATAATTTCATACAGGAAGTGCATGTGTAGAACATGTTCTGTATTACTGAACTTAAAATTCCTCTCGTGTTTTCTTTCTTTGACAAGCTATTTTTCTTCTCATGTGGTGCATTTCACGTCAAACAAGTGTGTCATTCCTATTGTGAAATGAAGGGGTGCAGAGGGAAAGGGGTTGGCTGATTATGATAGTTTGGAATATGAAATTTAGAAATATCTGTATGTATGCCATTGGCTACAAAAAGAGGGCTTAGGAATCTCCCTGAACACTCTTTAATGTTGTGCCAACCCTAGAAACCAATCACTTCCCCCTTTTCTTAAATTCTACAGCATTGGATGGTTGTTCTGTGACTTTCATGCTAAAGGATCTATGCTCGTGGAGTAACAGTATTTAAAGGTTCCTTGGTAACCAATAGGAAATTATTTGGTGTGCTTACCTATGCTTTGGTAAACACTGGTTATGTTAATTAGCACACACTATAGTGGGAGCCACATGCTAGAATGTTCTTACTCAGGTTTCTTCAGTTACTGAATTCGCATCTCAAAATAAGCCAAGTTTTGCTTTGCATTCGTCTGTTGACACAATTTAGTGTCGAAAAGATATTGAAAAATGCATTTGTGTGGTTGTTAAGCCACTAAGTTTGGGGTTGTTTGTATCTTCTTTTTTTGACAGCAACAGGTGGTGAATCAACTCAGGCTTCCAGTGTATTTAAACAGGCAAAGGACAAAGTCTCTGTGAGTAAAATAATTTTTTCCTTGCTCTTCACTTGAAGTTCCTTTTGGTATTGGTGGCAACGTCTCAATAACTTTAGATATAAGTTAGACTTCCGATGTTTACTCTTAAATGTCATTTTAAATTATTCACTCACCCAGAATGATTCTTGGTAGCATTCGGGCATGTCTCAATGTCTTCTGGAATGACTTGTGATAGCAGTTGGTGAGGGCAGAGCTGGGATGAAGGCTGCCTCTTTTCTTTTTAGTAAAATGGAAACAAACAGCACGATAATCTGACAAAAATAGGGGAGCTCAATTTATTTACTTTTCATAGAATCGAGATAAATCATTATAATCAACATTAAACTGTGTTTGATAATACATTTCATTATTGTTACTACAAAATAAGAATATGAGAAAATTAAACAATGTGGGTGAGCAAATACAAGTAAAAATGTATCATAATCCCTTTACCTAAAGAAAACTACAGTTACCATTCTGATGTAAAATCTTTATTTTTTTCTACTCAATTATAGCTGTAATAACTTAAATGGAAACACTGCATCAGTTTTTTAATTAAACAGTAAACAGATTTCCTGTCATTAAACATTCTTGTACATCACTTTAATGACTACACTGCATTCTGTTTTATTTATTTATAGTGATATACTTGATCAATTCCCTATTATTTGACTTTTAAACTATTTTTATTGCCATATTAACAATATTACTGTAGAAATCTTTTTGGCTTAATCTCTGGATGCATCCATATGCTTTTCCTTAGGATAATTTCCTAGTAGTGAAACTACTGTTTTAAGAAGAAAGTCCACATTTAAAGTTTTTGCTACACATTGTCAAGTTGTCCTCCAGAAAGGTTCTACTGACTTACGTGTCCCCCCAGCTGTATATAAGAGTACCCATGTTCATTCTTAGTACTAGATATTCCTATGCTTTTTCTATATTTGCCAAGTTATGGAGATAAAATGTTTTAATTTGGTTGCATTAATGATACTTAACTTCTTCATGTATATAAATCATTCATATTTCTTTTTTTAATTTTACTTTTTATTTGATTAACCATTATTTTTTAAGCTTCCAAAAGACCAGAGCCAACGTGAAGTATTTTACTCCTTTCTGATTGAAAGAAAAAAAAATTAAGACTACTAAGAGTGGTGCCTGGCTGGCTCAGTTGGATCAATTCTTGAACTCGGGGTCGTGAGTTTGAGCCCCACATTGGGAATAGAGATTACTTCAAAATAAAATCTGTTAAAAAAAAAGGACTACTAAAAAATTCCTAAAATTACAACAAATAGCTTGAATGATGTTAACTAGGAGTGCATCACAACGTTCTGGGGTTTAGACATCATATAATATGTAAATCACAACTCTTTGTTTAGCCTTCTAAAAACTAGTAAGATTTTAATGCAAGCTGGTGCAGCCACTCTGGGAAACAGTATGGAGTTTCCTCGAGAAGTCGAAAATAGAGCTACCCTACGACCCGACAATTGCACTACTGGGTATTTACCCCAAAGATACAAATGTAGGGATCCGAAGGGGCACCTGCACCCCAATGTTTACAGCAGCAATGTCCACAATAGCCAAACTATGGAAAGAGCCCAGATGTCCATCGACAGATGAATGGAGAAAGAAGATGTGGTATATATATACAATGGAATATTATGCAGCCATCAAATAATGAAATCTTGCCATTTGCAACGACGTGGATGGAACTAAAGGGTATTAGACTAAGTGAAATAAGTCAATCAGAGAAAAACAAATATATGATTTCACTCATATGTGGAATTTAAGAAACAAAACAGAGGAGCATAGGGGAAAGGAAGGAAAAATAAAACAAGACAAAATCAGAGAGGGAGACAAACCATAAGAGACTCTTAAAAATAGGAAATAAACTGAGGGTTGCTGGAGGGGAAAGAGGTGGGGGAATGGGGTAACTAGGTGATAGACATCAAGGAGGGCATGTGATGTAATGAGCACTAGGTGTTATATAAGACCAATGAATCACCGAACTCTACCTCTGAAACTAATAATATACTATATGTTAATTGAATTTAAATTTAAAAAAATAAAAGGATTGAGAAAAATAAATAAAAACTTGTATGATTTTAGACTTCCATTTTTTGTGAAAAATAGAAATTCATTTCCAATGACAGCCAAACTTTTTATATCATTTTGAACCTAAGGGACTTCATGTGAATTTTAAAAATTGATTTTTATATAATGTGTTCAGACATATTCCTGAATTATATGGAAGCAATAGAATCCATGTATTCCTTTGGTAAATACCAGGCTTGAGAATACTGTAACTTCAAGATTTCTATCTCTTTACCTTTTATTTCTGATGGGGAACCAGTGAGTTGTGGTGGTTAAGGGCAGGGCTATGAAGCAGACCAGGTCCAGGTCTTGAACATTTATTAGCTATATGATCTTTTTCTCCCTATGTCTTAATTTTCCAAAAATAAAGGGAGGGATAAAAATTCCTGTATCCTAAGTTAGTTGTGAAAATTAAATATGGTTAATTATAAAACCATCTAGTGCCTAGAGCATAGTATTTATTCAATAAACGGTGATAGTTGTTGTTGTTATTATTTGAAAGGTAGAAGTCTTTAGGAGCAGATATAGAAAGTAAGTCAGCTTCCCCCCATTAAAAAAAGCATTTTTAAATGGACATTGTTCAGAAAATCTTTTTTTTTGAACTTTTAATTTTCTGGCTTTTAATTCCAGTTAGTTAACATACCGTGTAATATTAGGTTCAGGTGTACAATATAGTGATCCTACACTTCTATCCAACACCCAGTGCTCATCATGACAAGGGTACTTCTTAATCCCCATCACCTATTTAACCCATCCCCCCTCCACCTCCCCTCTGGTAAACATCAGTTTGTTCTCTATAGTTAAGAGTCGGCTTCTTGTTTCTCTCTTTCTCTCTCTCTCTTTCTCTCTCTCTCCCTCTCCTTTTCTCTCCCTTTTGTTCATTTGTTTTGCTTGTTTGTTTGAAAAGTATTTAGGAAATTTTCAAGTCCCTTGGTCTTCAAGTAACTCAGTGTGAATTGGTGTACAACACCAACACTGAGGAAAGAAACCATATACATCTTCTGACACAAAGCTAATGTTTTTTTCCTTATAAATGCCCATCTCACCTTTCTGAAGAAGAGAGATTAGGCCACCAGTCATTCTAACTTCTTCTCATTTAACAATTTTTTCTCCCCTCATAACCTCATCTTCTCCCTAAAAATTTCCTAAAACCCCAAGACCAACTCTTACTTACCTGTGACTTTCAGTACATCCATCAGAACAATTCTTTCTGATTTTTCAATTGATCTTTGTTGTGAACCTGACCTATAATCATTCATTTCATTTGTTGTGTATTTGTTTTGTTTTGTTTTCGTTTTGAGCCAGTTGTCTCTCTTAATTTGAGGTAATCCAATTATTCCATTTTTCTCTTTCCTGTATCACTTTTGAAATTTGCTATTCTGTGGGTAGCATCAATCAGAAAAGAAGGACTTGGGTCGACCCAGGAACACTGCCCACTCAAGATGCTGGCTCTATAAAACAAGAAGTGATACGTGCAGTCTGTTATTGTGTCTGCCCCGGTTAAAGTGCCTATGGAGCTTAAAACTTGAGATAAAGCTGTCAGTTTCAACTTCCATTTTTGTAACAGCTAAATCATATTAATTATTGAAGACAAAATCTCCTTGGCTTCATCATACCTTTCCTATTTTTAACGAAGTCCCCCCTGAGACGTGTGGCATGCCAGCATAAGCTTCCTCCAAAAGCCGTACATCCAACCCACTGATTTTCACTTGCCAAATATCTCTCCGGGGACTATCGACACCAGGAAATTAAGCCCTGTGGTTTAAAGAGATTGTGGGCCATCTCTTTAATGCTAACTTTCATTTTTAGAATTTATAACACATTGGGGCGCCTGGGTGGCTCAGTTGGTTAAGCGACTGCCTTCGGCTCAGGTCGTGATCCTGGAGTCCCAGGATCAAGTCCCGCATCGGGCTCCCTGCTCGGCAGGGAGTCTGCTTCTCCCTCTGACCCTCCTCCCTCTCGTGCTCTCTGTCTCTCATTCTCTCTCTCACAAATAAATAAATAAAATCTTAAAAAAAAAAAAAGAATTTATAACACATTATACAAATTGTGGTCTACGCATAACAATGGTATTAATTCTATGGTATAACTTGGCCCCCAGTAGGCATTTTACTCATAAAATGAACTAATTTTATATAAAATTGATGAAGTCAATGTAGATATATGAAAATACATTTTCTCAACTTTAAGAAAGTATTTTCCATTATGAGGACTTAAATATGCCTTGTTCTAAAGTTCTTGAAATGTGATCAAGATATTGATTATAAATACACCTTCAAGGTTCTATTTATTAAAGGAACAATTCCAACCGACTCTCAAGACATTTTCCAAATACGGTATCATTGGGAGACTTATGGATTAACCAGACCTTATATGTAGAACTCATGAAGAATATTTTTATCTATATTGTCATATATGAGTGCTCTTAAGTGAGTTCCAGTTAAAAATGAGTTGCTCAATGAAAATCTCTTGTTCTCACATTAAATATACATTTCTATCATTGATTATAACCATTTATCATGCGGTCTTATTAAAAGTAGGCGTTTAATTTCTTATATGTTTATACATTTTTTTTTATTTTCCTTTGACTTCATAGTTTGGTTTATTTTGTGATTTTGTTTGTTTTCTTTCATGGCTAGAATTCTACCTTGTCAAAGATTCCTGCCTTACAGGGTAGCTCAAAGTCCCCAAGATGCAGCTCTGCTTGCCCTAGTACGTCTCAAAGGGCTTCATTTTCTGACAGGTTTTCAATACAGCCCACCTCAGCAGGCTCCACAGACCGTTTGCCATACTCAGAATCAGGGAACAAGGTAAGGCAGCAGGTCAACTGGAGGTTCAGAAAAGAATATAATTTCAGAGGTTATAAGACACGATTCAGTAAATATATAAAAAACAAAGACTAAACTCTAAAATATTTGATATGTAAACAATAGACCCTCTTAAACACAAATAAAAGTCTCAATAGTTATTAATAGTTAACCAGTAAAAAAAAGTCTCTAGGTAGACTGTTCCTTATTAATTTATTACTTATTTATTTGGTATCTTGTAAAATTTCAAATACAAACCAATAAAGTAAAATGTACTATATAAAATATTACACATAATATATATAATAAATATATGTTACTCGTAGTATATAATAATATATTGTATCATCTAAGAATGGCAAATTATATGTAATATAATACACCATTTGGACTCAATCAGACACATCAGGATTTAATACTGCCTCTGCTACCTATCAACTCGGTGATCTTGAAAAAATCACATAAACTGATTCAACCTGTTTCTTTGGCTATAAAATGCAGATAGTATTTTGTGGCAAGAATTAAATCATAAATGGATGTAAAGTACTTAGAATTCTAGTCGCATAAATGCACGATATATGGTAGTGGTCATTGTTAACTGGTGTGCATGCAATGCCCCTTGGCAACCCTTTCTGATTAATAAGTTATCATGCTCATGAAAATTTTTTTAGTAAAATTATTAATTCACTGGAGATTACTTGAGTAAATTCATTTTACCCATGTTATTATTTAGAACTTGAATTTCATGATCAATTATTAGCACTAACTCCAGAATTATACATTTTTATAAAACTTCTAGGCAAATATGAACTCTTTCTAAGTTTCAAAGTAGAAATGCTTATAAATATATGAAATTCAGTAGTGTGTATTAAAAGAAATTCACCTATCAGCACAGGAGGAAAAATAGAGCAATGTAAATCACTTTGTATAATTGAAGATGCATAAGAACCCAATGTGTTTTTTCCCCAATCAGGATGGAGTAACCAAGAGCCCAGAAAAGCGCTCTTCTCTGCCCAGACCCTCCTCCATTCTCCCTCCTCGTCGAGGTGTATCAGGAGACAGAGATGAGAATTCCTTCTCTCTCAACAGTTCCATCTCCTCTTCAGCACGGCGGACTACCAGTAGGTTTATTTTCATTTGGCTTCCTTTTTAATCCTTTAAGTGGCAAAGAGCTTATTATGTGTCTATATTTTACATCTTCCAAGGAAAACATACACTGAAAACAAATTATATTTCCTCTAAGAATCAGAAAATCCAGACTGTTCATGGATTCAAAATAGCTGTGTGAGTTAAAATGATTGTTGTGGAAAATGAGTACCTATAAAGAAGTAATTAAGAGAGAAAAGCAATAGCCAGGAATTTTAAAAAATATATATCTGTATAAGCTTAACCCTTCTTAGGAATCCAAGTCCTAAAATCTAACTGGAAAGCCAATTATCAAAACCTAGGATTCTGCTCAATTTGTTAAGAATTTGAATTCCAATGAGGGTGTAAACATAACATGTTTAGTGCAATAGTTTCAGTTTCTTTTGATTGATGGCCCATAATGAACTGGTTGGCAGTTATCACAGTTTAAATAAAAAATATAAAAAAGTTCCAATCATTACCCACTCAGGTGTTGTGTTACTACCAAGATTATCTAGTTAAAGCATGGATTCAAATTATTTTCATAAATATGTTTCTATTACAACAAAAATAGCTACTACCATTTATTGAGCACATATAGATGGTAAAATCCTAAGACACATTTTTCACTCAATTTAATTAACAATGCTGCTGGTTAGGTATTAATAACCTCATTGAATCTACTGATGAGAAAAAAGAGGGTAACTTGTCCAATGCTATTAAGATAGAGAGTGGTTGAATTTGGTTTTCAGCCCACTGATAACTTCATGACCTTAATGTCTTCTTTATATTTATTTGGAAGAAATAGTACTAGAAAACTGCTACGTAGAATCACTTGGAGAGTATCATCTCTGTCATTTAAAATCCATTAAAAATGGTGGAAATTGCTACTCTATCACATTATAGTTGATTTTACTCCTTATTTTAAAAATATTTAACAATAATTGACCCACTTCAAATGTCACTATTTTGTATGACACTTAAAGCATATTTTTGCCTGGAATGAAAGTGTTTATTATAGTTAGAGCAGTTGTGACCTACACACCACTTAGTTTTGTGAAATATTAACATTCTTTGAAATATGTGCCAGGAATACTTTAAAAATCACTAAACTCTTTCTTAACAAAAATAAAGTATTCAAATGAACTAGCAAAGAAGGCATTTAAGATACAGTAATCTCTTGAGAAAAGACTTTAACTTTGGAATTGGGCATCATCAATATAGAAGCTGTTCAGATAAATCAAAGGCACCAAGTGCTTCCCAAAAGTATACTTTGAATTATGCTTCTATCTGTGGTTATGGAAGCAAAATGGCACTTCATCCATAAATCCACATCCTCAAACCACTGTGCTCTGCCTTTTAAAGGGCACCTGTATATATATTGTTCTTATTTCTAAACCAATTCTAAAATTGTTTTTATTTCTAAACCAATTCTATTTTGACTTTCTAACTTACATTCATAAGCATAATGCATTTTATTATTTGGTAATGAACATAATTCCTACTCTGATAATCTCAGGACATAGGGTTTATTTTCTCTCTATAAAGCAATAGCTAAAAAACATAAGGACAACTAGAAGAGCAAGCAATATGCCTCCTCCATTCACCCATCATCTCTGTAACTGCACATAGCCATGTCCTGGCACTTTGTACAGCTACTGAGAAAAGCTGAAAGAAACAAAGCTATGCAGTTAGCCCAAGTAGAGAGAAAGGCATTGTCATTGACGAGTTGACAAGATTAATAAGAACCTACAGCTTAATAAAGTCATTCTTAAATATATATTTTTCATAAATATTTTTTAAATTGTTTTAGTAATTCAGATTTAACTCAATTTCAGAACAAATAGGAAATGCTCAAATTTGTCATTTTGATGACAAGAATATAATTTATTACACTAAAAATTGGTTGTATCTATTGAACAGTGGTGTTAGGGCTTAATACTTTTGGTTTTTCTTCATTCTCCAGATATAACACAAAACCTTCATTCCTTAGTTTTCTGAAGTTTAAAGCCATTTTCTACGAGTATAGAAATGACTCTTACTTTAAAAAAAAATGTTATTTCTTTTAGTGAAACTTGTTATGCACATGCAGAATATTGCTTCAGCTTAGTCTCCGTGAAGTAAAAAACACCTCGACACACTGATAAATTCTAAATCCAATTTGTACTGTTAAAAAAGAATGTTGAACTCCTACTGTATTCAGGTCCCATAAGAGGCATCAGTGCTAGGTACAGTGGCAAATAACAGAGAGAAGATCCTGCTCCCAAAAAGACCTGAGCTATTCAAAGGTGATGAAGTCATAGAGAAAACATTTGAGGAAGAAATGAAGTTTCTGGGAAGAGATTTTTCTGAAGGACACAGTGACTGACTCGAACATCAAAAACTCTGTCCAAAAACAAATTTTGTACCAAGGAAGCCACAAAGAGCCACGTTGGATGTGGCTGTATCATCCTGATCTTGAAATGTCCTTTTTGTGGAAAGCAATAAAAATCAAAGAATGAACACTAATTTATCACATAGTCTTCTTATATCCAATTTCATATTGTCAGTTGAGGAGTCTACCTATCGTTTGCCCTTATGTTAAAAAAAACCAAAAGGACACAGGACAACTTTCACTTGATACGTAAAAACTGTTCACTGAAAGAAGTAAAATGATCCTGTTTCTTCAGGAGACTGAACCCAGACCAGTGGGTAAATAGATATTATAATTATCTATGAAGCTCTTTTGAGCTCACCCCTTGGAATTATTTCAGCAAAGATTAATTATCCCCTTTCTCAGAAAGAACTTCCCACACTGATGACCAGTTGTATTAGATGACTCAATGACAGTTCATTGATTTAAAAGTTAATGAGTTATACCTTTATCCTCTACAAAATTTCTAGAAGATTTATTGGTTTTACAAAATATACATACTTAGTAATAAAAAATAAAATTCATGCCCTTCCTATAAAACACCAAAAAAAGTGAAGAAATTTGAATAATAAATGTAAACCATGTAAATAAGTATTCTATTATTAAAATCAATGTGTTATTTTAAGCAAAAAGATTTTTAGAGCTAAGAAACTAAATATCATATCTGGCTTAAAATTTAGTATCATCTGGGTAAATGAGCCTCAATGTCCTCATTCTTAAATTAGGAATAATAAGAGCTGTCTCTAACTACTGTGTTTGGTCATCAGATGTTTGCTATTCACAAAAGTGCTTTGTAATCTGTAAGGTGGTACAGTCTCATCTATAGCATTATGCTTTCAAAAAAGCATTTGAAATGGCATTCAAACACACAGTTACAAAGTTAATACAAAAAAAACATGGCATAGGAAAATGGGAGGAAAAAGTTAAATAAATAAAATGACCCTAAAGTCAAGTTGAGGCAAAGAAATGCATCCCAAATAGCCTGTATAATTGACAGTGGGGGGCCGGGGCAGTTGGGGGTGGGGGAGTATTGATTTGATTCCAAACCGCAAACTAGTAATGAAAGTGTAAGAGAAAACAATCAGGTATAAGATTCACTGCGACTATGTTGTTAAAACATCCTATTTTTCTAAGAAGAGAAATAGATATTTTTGGTATTAAGAGCTGAGACAAATTTCCATATAAAGGAAATACACGATACTGTAGAACAGTGTGTGACATAATTGCATAGCTTTTAGTAAACACATTTGCAACTCACAGCGTTCCTCAATATAAGCTGAAGGAGTAACGTTGAAGCACAATGCAATAAACGACTTTGTACACAGGCCAAAATTATTGCTATCAGTACACAGTTTTATGTTGTGTGTCTACCTGAATCTTGGAATGAACTTACTGCACAAAAGAGCAAGTGATCCACACATCATTCAAGGAAATCTTTAGTAAATACTAACCCACATAGAACATGAAGCGCAGGCTCTTCTACCAACTTACGGCAGATCTGCATGCCTTAATGACCCCACAATTATAAAAAACTTCTGACGCCTTCATAATGAGAAGTAAGAAGAATAAATCAAGAAAACCCAAGTTCTTTCTTTGCACTGATAGCAATGCATGTTCAAAAAAATGTCACCAGCTTGTAAGCCTAAAAAAAGGAACTTTCGCCTTTTTGAGCATTGTTGTAATCCACAAATATTCCAGACTCTTTAGAAAGTTCATGTATTATGAGTTCTAACAACCTGAGGGAAGAGGATGTCTCGAGAATTTTCTGATGCTGTGATTTTGGTTTGGTTTGGTTTTGTTCGTTTATATAGGGTCAGAGCCAATTCGCAGAGCAGGGAAGAGTGGCACTTCCACACCCACTACCCCTGGATCAACTGCCATCACTCCTGGCACCCCACCAAGCTATTCCTCACGCACCCCAGGCACTCCTGGAACCCCGAGCTACCCCAGGACCCCTCACACGCCAGGAACCCCCAAATCGGCCATCTTGGTGCCCAGCGAGAAGAAAGTTGCCATCATACGTACGCCTCCAAAATCTCCTGCTACTCCCAAGCAACTTCGGCTTATTAACCAACCACTGCCAGACCTGAAGAATGTCAAATCCAAAATCGGATCGACAGACAACATCAAATACCAGCCTAAAGGGGGGCAGGTAAGAATCACATGAACAACATGCTTGCTGCCAGAAGTAAAATCCCACTAATGATTAGAATGCCCTCCTCATACTATAAACGAACAGTTCTTACAGTGAAGGGGGATGGAGGTGTTAAAAAGTTACTGGTTATGATTCATTGTCAAGAGTTTGGACCTCATCCGAGATAGCTGGCTTATAAAATATAATGAAAATCGCATGACATGTCCTTTCCTTCTGGTTATTATCGGGTAAAAATTGATTTCACCATACAGGAGAATCTTTCCATTGATTGCCTACCCAATCTTTTCTTTTCAATCTATTGCCCTGTGGATTTTAGCATAAGAGATTAAAATTACATTTCTGATATGAATTTGAGTGTTCTAGTTTAGATCCTGACTGTGACCTCATTTGATGATCTTTTAGTGATTTTGCTTTTATCTCCTTCCTTCTTCAATGATTTCCTATGTCATCTTCTACCATTTCCCCATGTTCACTCCCAAATCAGCATGGTTCACCACAGTTCTTCTCTGGCTGCTCATGCTTAAAAACTGCAAAGGGTAGACATTCATGTTGATAGTAGATAGTTCTGTATAGTTCCAATGAATGAGCTTATTGGATTAGAACTTCTCTTTAAGATTAATTGTATTGAAGAGGGTTATTAGTAAAGCTCTACCTATTAACTCTTAACTTCAGCTCCAGTACATTCACATTTTTTTGCCAACCAGGGGCCTTTGAGTTTTGCCTTGACCTCAACCTTGCTTTTACACTGTGTTTAGATGAAGCAATTAGCCTGGAAGGAGATAATACAAATATCATTTAGTATTTCCTTTGTGATTTTGATCTGCCTATGGAATAGTTTGGCTTTTCTTGTCACTAAAGAGATAAAACACCCATCCTTGAGAGAAAGAAGAAAGAAGGTAATAATTTCCTTTGTATATTAACAAACTTGTGATGCCCTCTCGACATTCCCAAAAGACTTTCTTTCAACATCAGTGTTCTTTTCTGCCACTCTTTCTTGTCTGTCTTGTATTTTCTGCCACTGATTTTTGGTGTCCCTCTTTCATGCCAAAGAAATTGTATTTTCAGGCAGGGTTAGAAGAAAAATCTTGCCAAAATGTGAAGCTATCAAGGACTCCTACTCACTGCTGAAACAAAAATTCAGCGTTGCTTCTTCCCTTAGCAGCAAACTTACTTGCTGTCTCATTGTGATTCTGTTCAAGAAAGCCCAAGGAGTTACAAAAATTCCACCAAAGGAATTGGGGGAAGCAGAAGGCGGGGTGGTGCTCCATATGCCCTTTGTGGAATGACTATAACATTCGATAATAATAAAGTCATAGACAAATGCTTTTTCATAAAAGGTGTTATTAAAATATGAGCTAAAAATCTTTTTAAGCAAAACAAAACGTAACATGAATTCTGCCAAATTTGATCCTGTAATTTCATAAATCTCATACTATTCTTGCATTCCTCAGAGTTTTGCACATCCAAGAGAATGAAATATTTGGGGCCTTTTGGAAATATCCAAATGCTCTATTGTTTTATATTTATACATAAATAATAGACTAAGTTAAATAAAATCAATTTAGTGCCAATTTGAAAGTTTATCATTTTAGCTTTTGGTGAGATACCTCTTAAAATGGTGCAACTATTATGTATATTTAAAATCAGTCCTCTTTCTATAAATGTCCTTGTATGCAGTATTTCCATATTTAAATGTGGGGTTTACTGGCTTATATTCCAGAAAATATTGATACTGAAAAGAATATGTTTCTTCTTAGAATCACAAGGGAATATAATTTATCTCTTAAGATATTTTCTTGAAACTAAAAAGAAAATTGCACTAAGATGGAATAATTATGGATATAATTTGACATGAAAATTCTACAATATATGATCTTATTCCAGTGACTCCTCAAGTTAGAGAGGCATGAAGAATGGTTTTAGCCTCAGCTTTGCCAGAATCACTAAGGTTAAACCAAGCCAAAAAATAGGAATACTTCTTTTTCTTTCTGCTTCTTGTACTGTATCTGTGAATATTTTATGTCTAATTTCAGTTGACTTCTGCTATACTTGGTAATTCATAAAACTGACATAAAGATATCTTATTATTTTGAACTCAACTAAAACTTCCTTAGAGATTGTGGTAATTAATGACTAGTAAAGACATATGACACAAAAATTACTGAACAGAAACAGCCTTAAATTCAGTGTCATTTGAAGAACATCTCTGCTTTCATAAGGCGAGTGTTAAACCTGCTGCAAAATTATCCTAGCTCAGCTGGAGATGACTTGGAAAAAATCCACAACAGTGGAGTTATGAAGTGACTTTTGTTGGAGAACCAGGAGGTATTTCCTCACCAACATAAGAAACAGATGGAAGGAAGATATTTGCCTTCTATTTTGTGACAGATGGGATAATCCATTTAAATTGGAGGGGGAAATGAATTGGGAAATTGAGGTGCACTGCAGTTGAACTGTCTTTGTAGGAAAAATATATCACTTAACACTTTAACATTATCCCCTTAAAAGCCTCAAACACAAGGAATGAGGAGAGATTCTTTTTCTGTACATGTTAAACTGCAGGTTTTGACAAAATTTTTATATTAAAGCTTCTTAGAAATTATCAAGATGATATGCTAAAGACCCTTGTTCTCTGATTGAGGATCCATAACTCACTCTGTTGGGAAAATTGAAGCTACTGGCATGTCATTCCTAATTATAAATTGGATAATCCTAGGATGTTGGAATGGACAGTGGTCAACTCAGAATCAATGAAGAGGACAGGACAATAGTAGTACTTTTTGTAGGAGGCAAGTTTTGTAATAGAGATATGCAGTCTGTAGATACTGAGAAAAATAGTCACACAATTCTTATTAATAAATAAGGGAGCAACTTTATAAATGTAACCTTAATTCTTCTACACAGGCTCTATTGTTATAAAATCTGGAGTGGTTAGATTGTATGTAAATCATTTAATTTTAAAAGCTATGTTATTGCTGTTTGTGCAATCATTAAGAATTGGGAGGGGAAATATGTAATAAAAAATATATCTGTCTTGGAAGTTCAACAACTTTCCAAGTTGGGAAGCCTTATTATTTCCCTCAGTTTGAGCATTTATTGCTCTTCTGTATGTATAGGTTGTATGCTCACAGTGATCATCAGTTCTATTGAAGGTCCGATTTTGTATTGGAAGAGAGCCTTAACTTTGTGTCTCAGTTCAGTGAGGCAAATCAATGCATAATGGAATAGATAAAAGAGCTGAAAACATGAGGAGCTTTACAGAAAGCAATAAAGTTAATCTTTTCAGCTGAAACACAAATTCATTCTACTGGAAAGAACATAACACAATCTTAGATTCACTGTAGATAGTGACCTTGGTTAATTTAACTCAAGGCTCGGGTAAGACTGTCTTAGTAAGTGTATTAATTTAAAACTATTTCAATACAGTTAGGTCCCTATTCTACATTAAATCTCAATCTAAATTTTAGAATAAGTAATGTTAGCTTTTTAAGAACACAGCTGCTTGATTTAAACAAAAATAGGAAAATAAACAATTTCTCTAAATGCGTGACATAAAAAAATTAGGCAGGAACTCAGTGAATGATACTTCTTACCTTTTCTATCAATGCATCAGCTTTTTTATAGGTGCTTTGATTTATGTGTAATACTTTTACATGCTTTAACAAGTTTCTTTTTTTTTCTCCATCAGCCTTATGAAGATCAGTATACAAATCACAATTTTTGTACCCTTGTCATAGTTGAAAGTTACTGGTGAGGTAGTTTCACAAAGGCTCTTTCCATTTATAGTTGTTGGATAGGATGATTATTAGGTAGATCATGATCTCTGCAAGGCCATGTCTGTGGATTTGATTGATCGCCTTGTAAATTATATGCTTCTCCTTCATTAATGGAGCAGTCATTTGAGGTCAGGTGGACTAAAAAGGATGGTGGCATCTTCAAGCAAATCACTCCTGTTCAAGAAGAGAACGGTACTTCTCTTTTATATAAAGAATCTTACAGAATTTGTCAATCTATTACCTTCCCAGTCAGTGTTGCCCCAGCATCTTTTTAAAAAAATTGATTTGGATGAATCCATTAAACTAGGACCTATGAAGTATATACTCACATTCTAGAAATAAAGTAATCTGTCTTCTATCCCTCACTTCTGTATCGATCCACTGATTTAAGGAACATTGGATGTCAGAGATCCTCAGCTCCTTATAGTCCAACTTCCACGTTTACACAGAGTAAGAAACAGAAGTCATTATAGTACCCACATCATGCATATGGGCTTCTAATAACATCCTTTAAAGGCTGAGCTATAAATTCAAGTTCTAGAATTTTGTATTTAATGAAGAATCACTTGTCTACAAAGTATGCAGTTTAATGCACCTTAGTTATTGTTTTATTTGCTCCAACTTTGGTTGCACAACATGAGAATGGCAACACTACTTAACACTCCCTCCCACACCAAGGTTCTATCACATCAGGATTGAAATTAAGGGTTTTGATCTTTTATAATATTTATGTGAAATAATTTAATACAAATAATGTGTTAGAGTAATACACTATTGCAAAGTTAAGACCATTAAATTTGGAAAGTTACGTTGTATTTCTTATCATATTTTTTATTCTCCTACAACTGACAGATTATTTTTTAAAATAATTCTAAAAATCAATGTTTAGAAATAGAGTATAGACATTTTCAAATTCCTATAGATAATATTAAGGACAAATAATGAAATATTAATTTTAAAATCTACCTTGGCATCTTTAAAATAAATGGTGAGCTGTCTTGTAATTCCTCAGTAATTCCAGAAAGTCAAAGTTGTACGTTCATTTTACTCATCATTTATTCAACAAGTATTTATTGAATACCCATTATGTTCCATGCTGTGTTCTAGGTACTGAGAATGTAACTATGAACAAAACAGACAAAAATTTCTGAAATTCCTACCTTCCTAGAATTTACATTCTAGGAAGAAAAACAAGTGAGAAAATATTATATAAGAAAAAAT